GTTTTAGATTCGAGGATTTTGGACTAAAGGTTACATTGAGAACTTTTGGGATAAATAGAATTAATATCGACCAGCATTTAACCAGTTAAGTGAGGTTAAAGGTTGGCACCCGTTACACCCTAGTAAATGTTGGTGACATAGCTATTAGTAAATGTTAGTGTTGTAGCTCCTGGTCAATGTTGGTGTGGTAGCTCTGGTCAATGTTGGTGTGGTAGCTCCTAGTCAATGTTGGCGTCGAAGCTCCTGGTCAATGTTGGTGTCGAAGCCCCTGGTCAATGTTGGTGTGGTAGCTCTGGTCAATGTTGGTGTGGTAGCTCCTAGTCAATGTTGGTGTCGAAGCTCCTAGTCAATGTTGATGTCGAAGCTCCTGGTCAATGTTGGTGTGGTAGCTCTTGATCAATGTTGGTGTGGTAGCTCCTGGTCAATGTTGGTGTGGTAGCTCTTGATCAATGTTGGTGTGGTAGCTCATGGTCAATGTTGGTGTAGTAGCTCATGGTCAATGTTGGTGTAGTAGCTCTGGTCAATGTTGGTGTGGTAGCTCCTAGTCAATGTTGGTGTCGAAGCTCCTAGTCAATGTTGGTGTCGAAGCTCCTGGTCAATGTTGGTGTGGTAGCTCATGGTCAATGTTGGTGTAGTAGCTCTGGTCAATGTTGGTGTGGTAACTCCTAGTCAATGTTGGTGTCGAAGCTCCTGGTCAATGTTGGTGTGGTAGCTCCTGGTCAATGCTGGTGTGGTAGCTCATGGTCAATGTTGGTGTGGTAGCTCCTGGTCAATGCTGGTGTGGTAGCTCTGGTCAATATTGGTGTGGTAGCTCCTAGTCAATGTTGGTTTGGTATATCCTGGTCAATGTTGGTGTGGTGGCTCCTGGTTAATGTTAGTGTGGTGGCTCCTGGTCAATGTTGATGTGGTAGCTCCTAGTCAATGTTGGTGTGTTAGCTCCTGGTCAATGTTGGTAAAGAGGCGAGTGGTGTGTCCTGTGGTCATGGTCGTGGTCAGGTCAACTCGCCTCCCCCTGTTCTCTTAGTTGCTTCACAATGCGTTATGACACTTTCTTGTAAATACACTATTTTTTATTTTTAAGAATATTTTATGGTTTCTGTCAGTTTACCAAATATTCGTTTACTCGTATACACTTTTTCACTGCGACATTGCCTGTTTATTCCTCTCAAATTAATAGAAAACACTGGAGCTCCCCAGTGAGTGTTACCCAGAGGCAGAGTTATCACAAGTGTTAAGATAGTTCATTTTGTGGCCTTGTGAGAGGCGGTAGACCAGTTACCTGTTTGATGTTGTGGCCGTGATTCCCACGGTTAATGTGAAGGAACCGGGTGTAACAGTGCTAATTTATTACTGTATTGAAATGAGACTTTGAACGTTCCCTGGACTATTGGAACACTTCTTCCCCTCATCCATTTCATAATAATAATAAAGAAGAAGAAGAAGAAGAAGAAGAAGAAGAAGAAGAAGAAGAAGAAGAAGAAGAAGAAGAAGAAGAAGAAGAAGAAGAAAGAAGAAGAAGAAGAAGAAAGAAGAAGAAGAAGAAGAAGAAGAAGAAGAAGAAGAAGAAGAAGAAGAAGAAGAAGAAGAAGAAGAAGAAGAAGAAGAAGAAGAAGAAGAAGAAGAAGAAGAAGAAGAAGAAGAAGAAGAAGAAGAAGAAGAAGAAGAAGAAGAAGAAGAAGAAGAAGAAGAAGAAGAAGAAGAAGAAGAAGAAGAAGAAGAAGAAGAAGAAGAAGAAGAAGAAGAAGAAGAAGAAGAAGAAGAAGAAGAAGAAGAAGAAGAAGAAGAAGAAGAAGAGAAGAAGAAGAAGAAGAAGAAGAAGAAGAAGAAGAAGAAGAAGAAGAAGAAGAAGAAGAAGAAGAAGAAGAAGAAGACAAAGAAGAAGAAGAAGCAGAAGATGAAGAATCAAGAAAACTGCAGAAGACCTATTGTCCCATATAATATTGGCAGGTTCTATTTATATCTACACAAACTCATTCAGATATGTGTCTAACCTACACTGGAAACAATCAAGGGATCCTACGTTATTTATTTATGTTACACGGTAATTGCTTCCACAAAATGACAACCCTGTTACTGAACCAGTATTTACTCAGGTCTATCCTAAATCTTATCTTATCCAATTTATACCTATTGTTACTAGTTATATTATGTGTTGATATTATCAATGCCTTATTATTATTCCTTGTATTATGCCCATTCATCTACTTGTGCACCTCTCTCATATCTCCCCTAAATCTTCACTTTACTGGAGAATGTAATTACGCTTTGTCAAGCTCTCCTTAAATGACAGGTTTCTAATTTGTGGGATTAAATTTATCATCTTACACTGGATGTACTCATTGCAATTTATATCCATTCTATAGTAAGGCGACCAAAACTAAATTGCATAATCTAAATGGGCCTAAAAAGATTACTATATATAGCTGAAGAATAACATCAGGTGTTTTATTACTAAGGCTCCGAATAAATAAATCCCAGTGTCTTATTTGACTTATTACGAACATTTATGCATTGATATTTTTGGCTTAAAATTCTTACTAATCATAACTCCTAGATCCGACTTCGCAATTTCAACACCATCCAATTCCTATCTTGTAATCGTATCATCATTGCCTAACCTCAAACCTTACATTTGTCAACATTAAACGGCATCTGTCAATTTTTTGATCATTTCAAACCAATATTTAGGTTGTCTTGAAATAATCATGAGTATTTTTACATGTTTATTCCCTCCCGATTTTCGTATCTTCGGCAGATTTGCAGATATTGCTGCTCAAACCTAAATCTAAATCATATATTTAACAAAGGTCCCAGGACAGAGCCTTGAGGCACCACTTACAACTGTTTCACACTCTGACTTAACCACATTTATAATAAATCTTTGTTTCCTTTGGTGTAGCCATGCCCTAATTCAACTTAATATAGTTGAATTATACCCCCAATACCGCGAGCCTCTATCTTTTTAATAAATCTTTCATGTGGCACTGTATCAAAAGTTTTGCTAATGTCAAGGTACACAACATCACAGTCCTTTCCCCTGTCAACTGCCTCAACTTATCTGGAATAAAAAGACAGCAAAATTTGTCAAACATGAACAGATGTTAATGTTCGTCTTGATAAACATGAATGTTTATCAAGACGAAGATGAATGGGTTTTACAATTATGGATTCAAGCAATTTTTCCACAATAGACGTTAAAAAAATTTTCAGATTTTTCGATGGAAGTGATTTATCTCCTTTCTTGAAAATTTGTACCACATTAGCCATCTTCCACGACGTCGGCACTCTGCCTGACTATTAATTTGTTAAATATGGTAGAAAACGGCTCGCAAAGCTCCTCTTTGCATTCTTTAAGCACCCTGGCAAACACTTCGTCTGACACCGGGGATTTGTTTAGCTTCAATTTTAATTTTTTGTTTAATAACTTCCTGATGACTATTAAACTAGTCAACCTGTCCTCTTCCCCACTATTATAGACATGTTCGGATGAAGGTATAATGTTAAGTTAATTTTTAGTAAGCACAAAGATAAAAGATTGATTTAAAATACTTCTCATCTCTTCTTCATTATCAGATATCTGGCCAGTCTCAGTTTTTAATATACCTATCCCATCCCTAAACTTTGTTCGATATAACTGAAAACAACCTTTAGGATTGGTCTTTACTTGCCCTGCCATTAAAACTTCATAGTTTCGTTTTACTTTCCTTATTTATTTTTTAAATCTCTAACCAGTTGGAGGAATTCTTTTGCTAGATTAACAAACCAATTCTTAATCTTTTTTGTACCAAGCTTTCATTTTACTAAAAGTTCTCCAGATCCTTATAGGTAAAGGAATATCTTGTATTCCTTGTAAGATTAGCTCCAAAATATCGTGTGCAATAATATTTAGTTCATCTGAGCATATTGCTTGTTTATATTCAGTTTTTCCTTCTTATTAAAGGAAGCTGTTTTGACATAAATTATGGTCCTTCTTTGAGGATGGAATTATCTTCTTAAAATCTTCTTATATATTTTTAATCGTTCCTTTCACTCACACATAACAATCAGGTGTTACAATAGTATATATAAATGATTCACATAATAATATTATCGTTGTTTTCAGAATCCACAACACATTTGTGTGAGGAACAATGAGTTGGGTGATTTGCCTTGATATTGGAGGATTTTGATGCATATTGAAGCTGTTATTCATCATCGATCTATTTAAGTTAGAAGGGCGGCAACTGTTTGATTCACATTGTTGAAACAAAATATTCTGCCTCCCTCACCATGAGGTTCCGTTGGTCCACGGCTTCTATCGACGAAATTCACTTGGAAGACGTTTTTGAGCGTTGCAGCAGAGGCTTAAACAATTATAGAAAATGTTCGGGTTGTCGTGGATTACATTAGTGCTGGAGTGTGAAGGACTGCGCGACGCCCAGCTCATCAGAGCAGCAGAACACGCGGGGTACGCAGTAGGTGACGTCACTGCACGGAAAGCAGAAATCCTTTTATGAGGTCTTTGTTGCCAGAGTCTTGCGTGGACGCTGCCTTCCCTCCGCCAGCGGTGTATCCACCTGAACACCGTCGACACACTCACACCAGATGACTCAGCAATGGCTCGGAGGGACATTCCACCTACCCACAGACGCACAAACCTGGCCCGCTCACTCACAACTGTTGGCTGACAACTGCGCCGGTTTGCCATATCTTCTGTGAAAGTGAAATAGGAAACGATATAAGAAATCGACCAGATTTCTCACATAATAATTTATTCCTTCACCATATGGCTAAATATTACAATTTGGTTTGTTTCTAAATTTAGAATGCAAGTGCAATCTAAATCTATAAAGTTCTATTTGTTTATATGAGGTTGCAGATTAATTAAGGGTCAGCCCATAATAAAGTTTTCAAGATGAAACGTGGGCGGTGTGGGTCTTTCAGAGGCCAGTCGTTGGCGGGGCCAGGGCCTCCGTTTATGAACCATCACCTCTTGTTCCTATGAATATTAAATGACATACCTGCATGGAAGGTAGTGGTGGGAGGAATATCACCGAGGACAGTGGGTGGAGGAATGTGACTGGAGGCACTGATGCTAATGGGTGTATGAATGCCACTGATGATAGTGGGCAGAGGAATGCCACTTAAGCCACTGATGTTAGTGGGCAGAGGAATGCCACTTAAGCCACTGATGGTAGTGGGCAGAGTAATGCCACTTAAGCCACTGATGTTAGTGGGCAGAGTAATGCCACTTAAGCCACTGATGTTAGTGGGCAGAGTAATGCCACTTAAGCCACTGATGGTAGTGGGCAGAGTAATGCCACTTAAGCCACTGATGTTAGTGGGCAGAGTAATGCCACTTAAGCCACTGATGGTAGTGGGTAGAGGAATGCCACTTAAGTCACTGATGGTAGTGGGTAGAGGAATGCCACTTAAGCCACTGATGGTATCCCACCATTGTAACGTCTCGGAAATTGGGGAAACAAAGGATAAAACTACTCATAAGGTAAAGGGCGTAGAGAGGTGGAAGGGAGGAGTGAGGAAGATTTGTCATGAGAAAGGGAAAGTTTAGAATGAGAGAAAATGGGATGGGAAGGAAATGGATGAAAGAAGGAAAAGGGAGGAAAGTAGAAGAGTAAAACGAGGTAGAGAGGCAGCACTTTATATTCTACTCTTCTACTTTCCTCCTTTCTCTCATTCTAAACTTCCCTCTCCCCTGACCACTCTTCCTCACTCCTCCCTTCCACCTCACTATCTCCCTCACCCTATTAGTTATATTCACTTCTTTTTTTTCTCCAATTTCTGATACATTACAATGGTAGCAGCGGTGTTGAACAATGTTTAATGTAGATGGTGTTAATTCACATTGTTCAGTCCCACGTGTCCTTGCCACTCAGGCACCATCAGGAAGACTATACCACGCATTTAATATTCGCGAATAAACGAGTTTTCAGGTTAGAAGATTGTGATTCTCTGGTGACGTGTTCTCGTGATTTTGGAAGATCCGTAAGTTGAGGGAATGTTCTCCATAACTTGTGTGTAGTGACATTTGTGATAGTGGGTAATATTTGGCTCTTTGGAAACTTAGCAGTTGGCGGTAGCTTGTGGAGGTCAGCTGAGTGAGTGAGGTTCAAGTTCAAGTATGTTTATTGAGACAAGAAATAAATGCATCTCAAAGTGATAGAGTTGCTTAGGCAGGGTGTCACCCGGCCACCCAGGGTGGCACCCAGCCGCGCTGGTGTACAGGTCAGCTGTGGAATGACAAGTGTGGTGTAGTATTAACAGATTCATTAATAAGGTGTAGCAGTATGTATAGTGAAATAGGGATAGTTTATAGGAAGTAATAGTTTCTGTAAACATATTTTGTTTTGTTTTAATGATTAATACATATTTCATGTCATATTCCCCAACATATTTATGTGACCATTCCATGATTGTGAGAGCAGGTCTGGGTATTGTAGGGATAGGAAGGTTTAGCCGAGGGCACACTAGCCGGAGTTCGACGGTAATCCCGCAACAGATTGCGATTGAGCGGAGTAGACATTCTTTTGGTGACGTGAGGAGGCTTGTAGTATTAAGGGCAACTGTTCACGTTATCACGTTTGACAGTTTTACTCCATTCAGATGCAATAACCTGAGTTGTATTGGTATTGTACAGCACGCTAGAAGGGACTAGTGTGCCCAGTAGACTTAACCTCTGAGTACGTTGAGGGATTAGTGTCTGGTCATGGTGCTGTGACATTTTTGAGTAGTGGACCCACAGAGGGACGAGGACAACAATTCTGAGCAGTGTGAGGTGGCTGCAGCTTTAGGGTGTAGGAGTAGCCACTAATTTAGGAAGTCTAATTAGGAACAGTACAGTTGAGTCAGATTAGTGCTATATAAGTCTCCAGTTGCATCAACATTTTTATTGCTGAGATGTATTTATTTTTATGAGTGACACTTTGAAAGTAGTGACTACCTTGTTTACTTTTCTTAACTTTAATCTGGTACGATTTTATGTTCCACCAAGTCATTTCCACTCATCTTTGCATATGTGTAATTATGATTGAAGTTTTGAGCCATTACCAGGAGGAGAGCAGTATGACTGATCTGTGGAAACCCTATAATATATGTATATGACACACCATTTTTGGAACACAGATATTGTACCCATATATTCATTCCCAGGTGGGAGTCAAGAGGAGAGGCGCACACATACAAAGGACAGAAACAGCTGCCTTGTGCCGCACTCATGGGCGTTCCTCACCACCACGACGACCAGCCTCCCTCTGGCTACATGATGGTTCCACCACCACCAGGGGACCCCAAGTCAGCCCTCTCGGTTGGCCATCATTGAACCCCAGTTGTCTCTCACCTTCTCCAGAACAACCATACTGGACCCCAGAGGACGATGTCCTACTAATCATGGGAGATTTCAACCACGGAAAGATAAATTGGAAGAACAGAGACCCACATGTAGGACCGGACACATGGAGAGCTAAGCTGCTGGACGTGGCAACAAGAAACATTCTAAGCCAACACATGAAGGGACCAACAAGACTGAGAGGGGAAAATGAACCACCTATGTGTGATCTGATGTTTACCCTTAGTGAGTCTGATACTCACTTTAGTCAGATACTTTACCCTAACCTCCAAAATAACAGAACACCTGAAAGCAGAGAGAGAGAGAGAGAGAGAGATACCAAAGAACCATTAACGGGCATGTTAGTGTGAGAAGAGAAGCTGAGAAAAAGTATGAAAATGAAAGCTAATAAAGCCAAGACTGAACGAAAGCTACTCCACAGTCACATCAGAAGGAAAACAACAATGAAGGAACAAGTGATGAAACCTAGAGCAGGTGAGGAGAGATACACAGAGAATGACAAAGAGGTGTGTGAGGAACTCAACAAGAAGTCCCAGGTCTTCACAATAGAACGAGGTGATATCATCGCGCTAGGAGAGGTGGCAGTAAACCAGGCGGACTTGGAGGGGTTCGAAATTACAAGAGATAAAGACAAGAGGCATCTGTTGAATCTGGACGTGAGAAAGGCTGTTGGCCCCAGGCGCAATCTCAACATGGGTATTGAAAGAGTGTGCAGGAGCACTTTGCTTGCCACTCTCCATGGTGTGTAATAGGCCACTGGAAACGGGAGACCTACCAGAAATAAGGAAGACGGCTAATATAGTCCCAATATACAAAAAGGGTAATAGACAAGAGTCACTGAACTACAGGCCAGTCTCCTTAACATCTGGAGATAAGGGACTTCGTGACAACCCATCAACATCAACATGGGTTCAGAAAGGGGTAAATCTTGCCTTACAGGCTTAATAGAATTCTACGACCAGGTGACAAAGATTAAGCAAGAAAGAGAAGGATGGGCGGACTGCATTTTATTGGACTGTCGGAAAGCCTTTGACACAGTACCCCATAAGAGGATGGTACATAAGCTGGAGTGAAAGGCAGGAGTAACTGGTAAGGTGCTACAGTGGATAAGGAAGTACCTAAGCAATAGGAAGAGGGGTTACAGTGAGGGTTGAGACCTCAGATTGGCGTGAAGTCACCAGGGGAGTTCCACAGGGCTCTGTACTCGGACCAATCCTGTTTCTGACATACGTAAATGTTCTCCCAGAGGAGATAGACTCATTCCTCTCAATGTTTGCTGACAACACCAAAATTATGAGCAGGATTAAGACAGAGGAGGACAGGTTGAGGCATCAAGAAGACTTGGACAAGCTGAAGGAATGGTTTAACAAATGGTTGTTAAAGTTTAACCGAAGCAAATGGAACGTAATGAAGATAAGTGTAGGGAGTAGGAGGCCAGATACAAGGTATCATTTGGGAGATGAAATACATTATGAGTCAGAGAGAGAGAGAGAGAGAAGGACCTAGGGGTTGATATCACGCCAGACCTTTCCCCTGAAGCTCATATCAAGAGGATAACATCAGCAGCATATGCCAGATTGAATAACATTAGAACGGCCTTCAGAAACTTGTGTAAAGAATCATTCAGAACTTTGTATACCAAATATGTCAGGCCAATCCTGAAGTATTGTGCTCCAGCATGGAGTCCATATATAGACAAGCATAAGACTAAACTGGAAAAGGTTCAAAGGGTTGCCACCAGAGTAGTGGTATGAGCTACGTATGAGGGGTATGAGCTACGAGGAGAGATTACGGGAATTAAACCTCACGTCACTGGGAGACAGAAAAGTTAGGGGGACATGATCACCACATACAAGTTTCTCAAATGGAATGCATTAGGCAGTGATGTGGTGGAGGCTGACTCCATACACAGCTTCAAGTGTAGATATGATAGAGCCCAATAGGCTCAAAAACCTGTACATTAGTTGATTGACAGTTGAGAGGCGGGACCAAAGAGCCAGAGCTCAACCCCCGCAAGCACAACTATGTGAGTACCAGGAGCGGTCACACCCTTCATTCTCCTCAACAGGAGGGGTCATACTGTTAACCCACACTAACAGGAGGGGGGACTCTCTGTTAACCCACACCAACAGGAGGGGTCACACTGTTAACCCACCAACAGGAGGGGGTTACCCTGTTAACCCAAACCAACAGGAGGGGTCACACTGTTAACCCACACCAACAGGAGGGGTCATACTTTTAACCCACACCAATAGGAGGGGTCTCACTGTTAACCCATCAACAGGAGGGGGTTACCCTGTTAACCCACACCAACAGGAGGGGTCTCACTGTTAACCCACACCAACAGGAGGGGTCACCCTGTTAACCCACACCAACAGGAAGGGGTTACCCTGTTAACCCACACCAACAGGAGGGGTCACCCTGTTAACCCACACCAACAGGATGGGGTTACCCTGTTAACCCACATCAACAGGAGGGGGTCTCCCAGTTAACCCACACCAACAGGAGGAGTCTCTCTGTTAACCCACCAACAGGAGGGGGTTCCACTGTTAACCCACCAACAGGAGGAGTCTCACTGTTAATCCACACCAACAGGAGGGGGTCTCCCAGTTAACCAACACCAACAGGAGGAGTCTTTCTGTTAAGCCACCTGCAGGAAGGGTCTCAATGTTAACCCCCCAACAGGAGGGGTCTCACTGTTAACCCACACCAACAGGAGGGGTCACCCTGTTAACCCACACCAACAGGAGGGGGTTTCCCTGTTAATCCACACCAACAGGAGGGGATCTCACTGTTAACCCACATCAACAGGAGGGGTCTCACTGTTAACCCACATCAACAGGAGGGGTCTCACTGTTAACCCACCAACAGGAGGGGTCTCACTGTTAACCCACATCAACAGGAGGGGTCTCACTGTTAACCCACATCAACAGGAGGGGTCTCACTGTTAACCCACCAACAGGAGGGGTCTCACTGTTAACCCACACCAACAGGAGGGGTCTCACTGTTAACCCACATCAACAGGAGGGGTCTCACTGTTAACCCACCAACAGGAGGGGTCTCACTGTTAACCCACACCAACAGAAGTCAGGCGAAGGGGGAAGTAGACCCGGTAATCACCAGTGACAACTATGCTACTGTCACAACACTAAACATAGAACGACTTCCTACACCACCTGCACAACCAAGGTGGAATTTAATTAAAAAAAAAGCCAACTGAAATATTTATACTAATAGGATCTTGAAAAATTATATACCACATACACGCCACCTGAGGATTCGAACATTCACGAGACCATCTGCAAGAAGCCATTGCAGCTTCTGCAAACAAAGCTATTCCAAACATTATCCCAGGAAACACAAAACGAAATAACTATTGGTTTTATAGTAATGATAAAGAACAAAACCAAAGTCAACATCTTCAGAAATTATCTAAAGAGAAACCCCCTCACCAGAAAGAAGAACTCTGCTAGGAGTGGTGATATCTGAAGCAAGACGAGTTTCTAGAGAGGTAAAGGAGGCAAGATGGCTTGAGTGGTGTCAAACTCTAAATGAACATAGTAGTCTTGGCAAGATGTCGGATCAGATTAAAACTATATCAGGTCGACCAGCCCGACCACAGGCATGTTTTCAACTATTGCAGGAGGCTGAAAGACTTGCTCTCCAATTTGCAGGAAGAGCGGCTTCATATCAGCTTCCTGCAATGGTCAGAAGGCAGCAAGAACAATTAAAACATGAGAGGTTGACAGCCATTCATGAGAGCACAACTATAAATGACGAATGTGACTGTCTCTTCACCAAACAAGAACTAATCAGAGCCAAAAAAAAGATGGTAAAGACACTGCACCATGCGCTGATAACATTACATACCCAATGATAGCACATGCAGGTCCTGCTGGAGTACAAGGGATATTGAACGTTATCAATGCATCTTGGCAGCAAGGCAAACTACTGACCTCTTGGAAGAGAGCCCATATTATTCCAATTCCTAAGCCGAAAGAACCTGGCAATTACAGACCTATTTCGTTTATATCATGCATTAGTAAAACTGCAGAACGGAGGGTCTTAAATAGGCTACTGTGGAAGACTGGAGATCAGCATAAACACATATTTGGCTTCACTAGAGGAGTAGGTACTGCCAACTGCATAGCAACATTACTTGGAACAGTTAACTCAGG